TCTTAATTTAAATATAATGATAATAAAGTATTTGCATTACCAAATTATTCACGTTGTCCAGAACGCATTTTCTTTTTCATGAAACCCTGAAAGTGACGATTAAAAATGGCCTACCGTTGCAATTTACTATGAAAATCGAAAATTTCATGAGTATCGATCACTCAAATTTCATAGTAAAAAATTTAATCAAGTGATCTGCGTGACATCTCGATCGACTGTTACTTTCCAATTCACTGAACCCTTCGTCCTTAATTAGTATACCTTTCACTAGGTATAGAGGGTCTTCAGAAACTATGCGACACTAAGTAACTACGTGACACATGAAAAATAAAACCAATTCAAACTCTAAGCTAGCTTATTTAACCGGTTAAACAGGTTAACTGAGTCAACCGAGTTAACCAAGCTACTTCATTATTTATTTAAGTAGATCATCACGTGATGGTAGGGTAAATATAATCACGTGTAATTGTGGAAAGAAAGAAAATAATAAAAATGAAAAAATAACAATATAATAAGGAACCAAGCTATATTATTAATAATAAATGACAAAAGAAAAGAATTTTAATGTAAACATGTTGCTTTATTATATTAAACATGGGTGAAGATTATGATGATAATAAGATTAATTTAAATATATATCATTGATCTAAATCAAAGGTGCAAAATCTATATCTATGTGACATATATAGAAGTTCAAAATAATATGAATACATTAAACTAAGAAAAAAATTAACACAATACAATACCATAATTGACAAGTGAATATCATTACAGTTTAACCTCCCAAAACCGATCCTAAATCTGATAAAAATTAATTTATCAAGCCTATTTCTTTTATATAAATCTAATAGTTTATAATGATTTTAAATCCATTACCTCTCAATACTGATATGAACCTTGTCCACCATGCATTCCGGTTTGTGGAGATTCAACTGTATTTGCAAATCCAACTCTTTTATTTCCCATATCAAATACTGTATATACATTTTTTATGAATGTTTGGCCAACGACCCAGGTAGAAACGTCTAAAATACCTTGAGGTAAAATGGGTGATATACACTGAGTGCCAGATATTGGTGAATTAGTTAAATCTCTGGAAGGAATTTTATAATAAACACCTCCAAATTTAAGAGAAATAATAGCAGTGGTATCGCATGGGATAATGTAGACACCATCTTGATAAGAAGATCCTGGAATTTGGTTATGAATTGCTGCAGCATCATTTTGAGGTATAATCATAGCTGAAGTGCCAGTGTCAATGATTGCTGTCCTTCCAGAAAACGACATTGGTCTACTATTAACCTTTGCATCATCTAGTTTTATTATCCAAAGTCCATAACCAGGAGTATATAAATTAGGAATCACAGGGCAAAATATAATTTTTCCATTAAATTTACTTTCATCAACACCACCTAAAGTAAACGATCCTTGATCATCAAAATCGTAATAATGTTGGAAATGAAAGCTAAAAATTGGATCAATTTTCTTTTGTGTAATTAAAGTAGAGATTATTGTTGGAGCACCATTATCCATAGAGTTCAAACTGTCAAATGCTAGTCCACAAATTCCATCATTATCAAATGTTAAAAAATCATCAGATTCAATATCTGCAAACCCAATAATTTGTTTTTTACCAATAATGTGTCCAATTTGAACATTATCTTTTCCGGTAACACCTGAAGTAGTACCAGTCGCATACACGATAGACCACGAATTACCTTCTGGTATAAAAGTTGGTGATTTACTTGAATCATATTTATTATGATTTTGACAAGAAGCAGAAGTACAATTCTTATTTGGAATCCAGAAATTCGAAGATCCAGTATCTAGAAGCATATTAAATTTTTGGTTTCCAACAATCATTTCTGCATAATAACCTTTATCTAACGCGATATCTTTTACAAGCGTGGTGCCTTGACCGTTCCCAACATATGAATAAATATTTTTAGAAGTTGCTTTATTGGATGCTGTTGCTATATTCGAAGATGTTTGATTGTTAGAAGCTGTTATATTAGAATATGTTGATTTAAGAACTCTATAGCTAGAGTATTTGTTTTCGGTTGCTTGCTTCAAACGATTTGCAATCGTAATTGCATTTGTATTACTAGTCTCAACGTCCACTCTTTTTACCAAATTAATGTTAGGTAGTCGCTTATTATTAGGGTATGCACATATGCTATGATTAGCAACTACGGAAAAGATTATAAAAAGAAAACCTAGTTTCATGATTACTATTAATTATGTGTAAAGATTATTAGTTTTTCGAAAAAAAGGTGAATAATGAATATTTTCTTGAGGTTTTGAAAACGCTTGATTTTATTCTATTTCTAGGTATTACAAAATGTTTAGACAAGTAGATAATTATTAAATATTAAATTTTTTTACAAAAAATCGAATAAAGAAGTGGTAATTTTGCTTCTGGAACCAATGTCGTCGTGACAATGTCATACAAACGTGTCGAAAATATTTATTATCTGCACGTTATTAGGTATAGTGATGATCATTCATCAATCTACATAACTTTATGACTTTACAATATTTCTTGCAAATATTTATGCATTACGAACCTTCAGTAATATTACACAAAAAGTTGCATAAATTTACGTTTACTTAAATTTATAACAAACAATTACATAATACTATATTTACCTATGGACCTTCGAAGTTCGTGATGCATGCGGGTGACTTTATCGTCCATTTCAGCTAACTAATGATTAGATATAGCAAATGTTGTGACAATAACATGACAATAACATCATTACCAATAATCAATTACTGATAATTTGATATATTAAATTTTTTTAAAAGATTTTAATTTACTCAATTTTTTTAATGGACTAAACTGCAGTCTTTATAAGGCTTTCGCAATTTGAATCTTTTTTTTTTACATCATAAACTTCGTTTACAAATTTTTATCATATAAAGCTTTCATCTCACTTCACATAGACTTTTTTCAAATCTAATCTATATTATATTACATTGAGCTATTTTTTCTATATGTCTCTCGGCTTCGCTTCGTTCGGCGTCATTCAAATTCACATTTTTTTCATTTTACTAATAATAATACACGCCACATATTAGAAACAAATCCTAACCGTACTTTATAGTCACCTAAACTCAGAATGATTAGAAACTTTCTTTCATTATGGTCTTTGACGATTAGTAATTATCAATTCATCTGACGGTAAAATATCCGATAAAAAGGAAAAATAAGGAATATATTAGTAAATCTAGGTAAGACTAAAAGGCAGATCTCAATGTCGACATAAATTTTGTATTTTAATGCATTGCATTCATTGTAATTAAAATAGTAATAACAACGTCTTGCGGAAGTAAGCTTTGGAATTGCAAAAAAATTTAATTGCAGATCTCTGCATAAAAAATTGTACGGCCTAACCTATATTGAGGTAACGTGACCCGGCTGCAGAAAAAACGTGATCCAAGCATATGACTCGGGCCTGAAATGCGCATTGATCGACAAAAGCGAAGGAATTTAATAAATGCCATTTTGGGGTTGCCTTGAGGCGATGCTCCATTGAGGGGAAGATTTAGGAAGAGTTAACCCAGTGATTATCACAATATCACATGACTATCATTCGGCCTAAGTTAGGGTTAGGTTAGGTTAGTTTAGGGTTAATTTAGAAGCATAGTTTAGGTCAGTTTATTTAATTCTGGCAAACAAATGACGTCTGATATGTTATCAAATGATTGTCGATCACTGGGCTAACTGTTCTTATTAAAGTGTCCCCATTGAAGAACAATAGTAAGATGCCTCTGATATTCAATGGTGGGAACTAAAGTCATAGCCATAAAATTAGTATGATTACTCATCGTTAGTCATAGATTTCGCCAGATACTTTAAATAGTCATATCAGTTAGAGATTATAATCGTTGTAGCAAAGCCCCAAGGTTATCTGTAATGTATAAATAACCATTGAATTTCATGTATCTGAAAGGTAGTGAAGTGTTATAATAATAAAGACCATCTAATAATAAACTTCCGGGGATCCTAGTGGCAGTAGGATCCTTGGTTCTCGGACCAAATTTTCCACGCCCTCTTTCGAGTAGCCTTGGTTGTGTTTTAGCTATGAATTATAGTCACTCCAAATTCGCCCTTTTACTACGTGCAATCTAGTCCATGCATCTAAATAATCATTACACCGCATACCTGTATATAGCAAGAAATGATCGGGAAAAATTAAATACGTACATACGTACTGTATATTTAGATATCTCCAAATGGATTTAAATTGCAATATCACACATAAATACATTTATTTGACTTTCTTAATTGCTTTTTAACATATCAATACACTTTTTTTATTTCATATGAACCATGATAAAAAATCAATTATTAAAATCAAACGATTACATTCAGGTGCATATTCAAAGAAGCTTAATAAATGTACAGTCAGACCTCTAAATATAATCCCTCTATATGTATCGTATAACCGCGAAATTACGCACAGACGTTATTCGAATTTTTGCCGAATTAAGTTTAATTTAGGCCGAAAATTGAAATTACTCACGTGCGTTACTTCGCGGTTATACGGTAATCCTCTAAATTTAATTTTTATTTAGGCCCAACTAATGTAATGCTAATAGAATTTTAGGTCAGAACCATCCCCTATAATCGTTTAATCGTTAATCGAATTAGCATAACGATGTCATGTAAAATTAGCAGATCCTAGCAGATTTTTTTGATTCTCTGAAAAATTTAAAGATATTTCAACAAATATAATTACAGTTGCTTTCAAAATGTGCGGACAACAATTTCCAGATATCTATAATAAAATAATTTATCGAAATGGTAGAAACTGTGTTGTACATGATAGTCCATTCTCCATTGACAGCACTGGATAGAAATTAGGGTAAACTGATTTTTTTGGTGCATACCCGTATACTGTGTATACTTGTATACCTGATTACATAGTAGGAATTAATGATGCCTGACGAAACTATTTTTGCAGTGACAAAATGGTTTCGTCAATGTTTTCGTCAGACGAAACCTTGACGATTGACACAACTACTGACGATTAACGATTGACGAAATTAATTTGGCCAATAAAATATTAAAATAGAGCCGTCCTTCTTTTGATAAGCCTTATTATAACGATCTCCAGATACTCTGAACCTTAAAATTTTCAAATTTACTGTTATTTCATTATATCATGAAAATATAGTACCTATTTTGACACATAATGTACATAATGCTGGCCAAAATCGGCATAATGCTGGCCAGGGAGCATATTGTCAGGCGGAATTAAGGATACTGATGCAAAAGTCTCGAAAATTCCGAAAAGAAAATGTATGAACATAAAAGAAGAGCAAGATTGGGTAAAAATTTGAAGGGAAAATATAAATTCCAAAAATTATATTATGCAATATCATGTGAATGTTATTATAAAATGCACATTTTCCCATTACTAGTAAACATCGACATCAGCATCAATCATCATAAATGTTAACACCACAAAAGTTAAGACCAAACAGAATTAATTTTTAGCTACCATAATTTCCTTCATAAATTACTGGAAACATCCAGATGATTAATACAAATCATTGGGAAACGTTGGATAAAAATAAAAACTGAGTAGAACATCAAAATTTCACATGATTTCTAAAAGAAAACCACATTTTCATTTTTTTTATATATAAATATATATATATATATTTTTTTGTTTTTTTTTTGTTTTTTTTTATTTTTTTTTTTTTTTGT